CATGTCTCTCTGGATGCAGTATCAGAGAAGGAAGCTGGAAGACAGCACAGCGACCTCAGAGCCTGTCCCCGAAGTTAGGCTGAGGTTCCAGTGGCGGCTGCAATGTCTGCCCTGATCCTTCTCATGCTGAGGTGTCAGTTTCCACGGAGATCAGGTATCAAGCCAGGAGTGGCCAAGGCCAGCTAGAGGAGATGTGGAGGCTGGGGTTGGGGGTGTTGCTGTGGGCTTGTACTTGGGTGCGGGTATGAGTTTGCCTTTGCGCAGGAGTGGGCAATCGTGTTTCTCCCTTAGAATTTGCCTGACTGCTCCCAGGGCTGAGGTCTTGTCTGAAGCCTTTCAGGCTGATAGATAGATAACAGGTAGACATTCCCAGAGGTAACCCAATGCCGTGATTAAGAACATAGTCTGTGCCTTTGAACTTATCTGGATGGAACTAACCCCTATGTTCAGTTTACAGCTTTGTAAATATCTACACAACTCTTATGTAACCTATTCTCTCTCTCTCTCTCTCTCTCTCTCTCTCTCTCTCTCTCTCGTGTGTGTGTGTGTGTGTGTGTGTGTGTGTCTGTGTAAGCCAGAGGTTTATGTATAGTGTCTTTCTTCATCTCTTCTCAACCTTATTTTTTGAGACAGGTCCTCACTGAACCTGGAACTTGCTGATTAGCTAGATTGGCTGGCCAGTGGATTCCAGACTTTCCTGTCTCCCTTCCCCAGTACTGGGATTGCAGGTTTATGTACCGAGCCTGGCTATTTACATGGGTGCTCGGAATCTGAAATCATGCCCTCACATTGCCGACATGAGCACTTTACCCACTGAGCCATTTCCTCAGCCTCCATACTCAGGCTTGTTCAATTTTCCTAGCTTTACTAAAGAAATTATAACTGATTTAGAGACTGTGTTGGCCTATGTGAAAGTTATTTGTCATTGGCTGAACTTAGCAGGACCCTGCAGTGTCACAGTGGGAACAAAATATGCTAAATTGAACAGACAGATATAGGCTATAGGCCCAGGATCACCCTTCAAGACACTTTGACAGAGGAATTGCCCTCAGGTTAGCCTGGGAGCCAGCAGACCGCGGTGTAGTATGGAATCACCACTGTGCATCCTGGGAAAGATACCTCATCTCTCTGAGTCTCGACTTCCTCTTTTCAGCTTTCAGAGGTGTTGAAGAAAATGTGCTGTCAATCATTTGCTTTAGCATCATTTTTTTTCTGACTTTCTAGACAAGTCAAATCTCCCTGTCTGATGTGTTCACCATTGGGCTCCTGCCTATCAGCCTTGTCTACATGCTCTTGGGGCCCTTATTCAAGGGATGATTTGCTTCCAGTTTCCTCCACTTGATTATGAGCTCCATGAACAAGGGCCTTTCCAATCATGGAAGATAGACAGGATAGGTAACAGTTCCAGTTTGAAGGAACCTGAAGAGACATGCCCCTAAATTCGACCTTGAACTGAGGAGATGAAGGGCTATCAAGAGCATCACTGGGAGAAATTATAAATTTTGGAAATGGATAATGAACCAGATCCTGTCACATATGTGTTAAATCCCCCCCTTTGTTTTTTCAAGACAGGATTTCTTTGTGTAGACTTGATTGTCCTGGAACTCACTCTGTAGACCAGGCTGGCCTTGAACTCACACAGTTCTGCCTGTCTCCACCTCCCCAGTGCTGGGATTAAAGGTGAGTGCTGCCACCACCCCACCTCCTAATTTTAACGAGTAAGAATGTGATGTTCTTAGAACGTGAAGTCCGGATGTGACCAGAGACTAGATACAGGGGTGTTTTCTCAGACATTTCTACAAAATGATTATATATTCTTGGATGGAGAAACTCAGTGTTGCCATGCCCCGAGAAGAGATGGACCAGAAGAGAATTGATCGTCAGAGCTATGTCACCACTCAGGCGTGCTAGGAGGTGGGGCTTATCCACAATAACCTCCAACTCCCTCCCACCACATCAGCTTCCCAGTTGTCAGAGACATACATTCTGCTGTTTATATACTAACTGCGCTCCCCGTCAGAACCCTCTAGAAAATACACCAGAACAAAATTAACTTGACAGGGAAATGGATATTTGGATAAAGCTTCATCTTAAGACAGTAATTTATCATGTTTCATTGTACATCTTCACAAAACCAGGACCACGGGTGGTTTAGCTGAAATGAGGGGATTCATTACTCTGGAGACATCCCTAGCACAGAGGCTGTGAGATGTGGGGAACGGATGGGGAGCAGACACCAAATGGGTCCCCTACATGTGCCAGATATGGGTGAGTCCTCTTATGTACAGCCTCAGCCCAGTGTTGACAGTGACTTTAGAGATAATTATCAATGCCCAGGTTTACAAATGAGGAGACTGAGACTCTGTGGAGCCTTAGTGCTGAGATCACCCAGTTGGGACATGGTGGACCGGTGTTCAGAGGAGAGAAGTACTGTTCTTTTCCCGCAAAGGCCCAGATGGGCTGCGTGGTTCCATGACATCATAGGGGGGGAAGACCTGTTTCTGAGGGTTTAGACAGCTATAGCACTGTCCTACCCTTAGATGCACATTCCTCCTGGGTATTCTTGCTGATGTTTGTAGGTGCTGTGCAACCACAGAGAGGAATAAGGACTCTCAGTGAGAGAGATCAAGAAGCTGGTCTGCATAAGTTACACAGGCATTTGCTCATTCATTCATTCTGCAAACACAGATTGACTCCTACTACATATTAGACATTGGGGGATAGCACAGAGCTTAAGAGTTTAGACTTTCAAAATCCTGTCTCTAGTCTAGCAGCATCAAGGCCCCACCCAGATGTCACAAATCAGAAACTCTGGGAGGTGAGGTCTAGCAGTGCGAGCACCAGCAAGCTTTCCTGGTTGTTCTGATGCACGCTAAAGTTTGAGAATGACTCTCTGTGAGTGCACATAAAATAATGACAGGATGTGATAATAGTCAGAGACAAAGGTGCTTGACAGCAGTGGCTATAACAGTGGTAAACAGCCCAAGACTGCACTGTGATGTCCTTGTCTCTTCCACGCTGGGAACCTGCTGTCTTCTTGTCTTCACACTGAGAGGCTTTATAGAGCATTCACATTTAGTGAGTAACCCCTAGCCTAGCTCTGTTGGGGTACCTTGGTCTTACTGAAAGCCCAGAGATAACCTGGGGGCCTTGAGGGTGGGGGCAGCTGACAGGGAGTTAACTGGGTCTCAAGAGAGCAGATGTCACCTCTGGTTTGTCTCCTCCTCTTCATGAGGCAAGGCATGCCATGCGGGTGAGTCCACCAGGGCTTGCAGTAAACAGTGATTCAATCTTGTGGTTTCAAGCTGGGTAGGGAGTGTGAGAAAGTTTGGGACAATAGTTCACAAATGTCAATGTGCAAAGAAACATCACATAGGGAGCTTATCAGATATCCATATGGCAGGCTACACCTGCAAATGATTCTTTGTCAGGTCTGGGGGAGGCCCAGGATTTGCATAGCCTACCAATCCCAGGATGATCTCAGTGCCGGCAGCTCTGATGAGTACCTTTTAAAAAATGTTTTCTTGCAAGGTGTACTCAAAGGGTCCTGGCCCTGGCTTATCATCTGACCAATCCCTGGCTGCAGGGCACCTGAAGAAAAGCCTGTGTCTCAGTTTTCTTGGAAGAGGATGAGTAGCTCTCCCTGCCTGATGGGTGGCTATGGGGATTAGAGGGGAACTGTAGTCTGGCTGTGGAGTGGTTAATGGCCCTGAATGCAGTAGTGGCATAATGAAGGTTTTTCTCATTTCATAAAAGTTGCTTTGAAATCGAATTAGAATATGAGAGTTGAGATCTCTGTCTATTTTTACACAAAGAATGAGTTCAGTGGGGATAATCAATACTGGAGTATGAGCTGCCAGTCAGCTTTTCCTGAGTCTGGGGAAGTTTCTTTGGGGAAGAGCTCTTGGGACAAGAGGATGGAGGGATCTGGCTAGAGATGGACTGGACTTCAAATGTGAGAACAGGAAAGGGTAAGTTTCAAATCTCTGAATTCTTGCAAATGCCTCATTGGGTATACCTGAGGGCAAAGAGTGGGTTGCTGAAGTGTGTGGTGTGTGGTACCCTGTGTCTGATTAGAGGAAGCAGTTACACTTCTTTTGATTAAGTTGCTCTGAGGCCAATTTAGTGAAAAGGAGCATGAAAAGTTTAAAGCCAGATTCTAAGTGGGAGCTCAGCCTCACTCACCTACACTTTACCAAGCCTCAGTGTTTCCATTTGTCAGATGGTATCCACAGTATATTGAGCTTGGGGATAATTATAACAGTGACAATGGCTCGAATGTATTGAGCACTTACTGTATGCTTTGCATGCACTAGTGTTTCCTCTAATGTTTATATCTGGCTTAGGAGCTTCAGGGAGTCGCATGGCCTTGCCTGCCAATGTGAGGAAGGCATCCAGGACAGCGTCTGGCCCACAGCCACTGCAAGTTCATGTTCATTCCCTCCTGCTTCCTGGAAGGCGTGTCATCAGAGAACTAACAACTCTCATCTGTTGCGTATCTCTCTGGTCAGCTGTGACCATTGATGGCTTAAGTCTCCTGAGCCAGAGTGAAAGTTCTAGAACCACTGGGCAGGGTGTTTGTGTTTCTGGGACTGTCAGAGCAAAAGAAGGCAGATCTGGTAGAGCCTATATGAGCCAGCATGTACCAAACCCAAAGGTGCCCATGTGACAGCCATGGGGCTGCTTCCCAGGAACACACTACCCGGATTTGTCTTCTTCAGAGAATAGTAATGCAAAAGGCCATTTTTCACTTTTAAATAGCTTTCATTCTATGTCTTAATAAATGCACATTTGTTGATTTGTGTAAGTATGATGTGGGAAGTCTGTAAATGGATGTAATCTGCACCGAGGGCACATGTAAGCACCAGGAACACTTTTGAATAATGACTCCCGCCCGTAAAAGACGGACGCTATTCATAATAATTCCTTGCTTTTCTCATTTTGCCGGGTACAGTAGCGATTAATCAATTTGCAATGTTATGTCACCCGCAACAAATTGCTAGCACGAAGACAAATTTATTGCTTTATGATAAAAGAACTTGTTTAGGTAGAAATAAATTAAATTTGGGGGGCTGTGATTTGGGTTTGATGTTTACATAGGTGACCCATAGAGTGTGGGCTGTGGAAATGAGGGGTCCCGCTGATTCCTGACTTTACTTGGTGTCTCAGGGTGGGGTACAAACAGGACAGGTGTTTGTTCAGCCAGTGACCCCAACACTGTGCAGGTCTGATGAGACAGAGGAACTGGGAAGGAGCATGGCAGTTCTTGGAAACCCTCCTCTGGGCTCTCTGTATCAGTAACTGTAGGGTAAAGCCTTCCACAGACGGGTTTGGACAATCAACAGTTGTGGGGGGATCTCTTCTGCTTCCTTATCTTGTCTGGATCCTAGATATCAATTTACCTCCATTGATAGAAACTGGGATTGAAATCCTGAGGTCACAGAGTAAGAGAGGCCCCAGGGACTTTATTTATTGAGGATCTTCCAAAGTATGGAAGAATAAAATGAGTGTACCGAGATTATGTTAAAATAAATATTGTATTCAGCAAGTGAAAGTTTTAATACATGGAGACTAGAATTCTATACTGTGCTGTTAACACCGGCAGTTGCTTCCATATAAGGCCTTTCATAAAGGAAAAAGCCACATGCTAAGGGGGAGCTGGTGATCCAGACTTGTCCTTTTATATTTATCTCATAGCACAGCAGTTCAGGGAAGCACTTTGCCTAGGGACCCAGAGTCAGGGGCACTGGAGACCCACTGGGCATCAGGATATCACACACATTTCACTTGTCATTAATTTATACTCCATTAATTTGGAGTCTGCAGTGGAATGAGGAGCTGATGTATTAATTCTGTCCTCCCCTAACACATATGCATGCCCTCAAGCATGTGCGAGCACACACACACACACACACACACACACACACACACACACACACACTCAGAACCAGGGCTGCTTCTTAAAAGGGGAAAAATGATTTGTTATAGGCAGACATCAGGTAAGAAGTTTATCAATTCCACAGTCCCTGTAAATGGATATCCACTCCTAGCTCATCAAAATCCGTCCACCCAGCAGGTCTTGAGACCACCTCTGGGAACACCCTGATATGCGCTGTGCAATTTCCTGGGAAGAGCCCAGGCAAATTCCCCGGTCATAGTTTCTGTCATCCTTGTGTCACTTCAGCCTTGAAGGGTGGTGTGGAGGCTCCTGCCTGCGGGGCAGCCTTTCTGCAGTAGCTGACAGTCTCTTGGCCTCCCCCCAGCCCTAAGGCCTGCATCCAGAGCCCTGTGGAGAATGGAGAGCAGAGAACCCTTCCTAGCACCCTTTCCACTGCTTTGTGGCTGGGGGGCTCAATGGGTACACAGCAGCCTTGGGGTGCTGGACTCACCTGGAGATGGCTTCTTTTCCATTGTCTATTCTGTCTGCTCGCCAGGTTCCAGGGGGCCAGGTTTCCTTGTCCTCCTGGCCTGGACTGCCAGCTTGCCAGCCACCTCTCTAGCCTGGGGTCCTGATGGGGATTTTGAGTCTCTGCATGCGGTGTTGCCCCAGCTTCTGCCGCCCGCCCTTTGGCTAATTCTGATTATTTCTCCTTCTCCGTGCTCTCTTGGGTGCCTTTATTCCTGACCGTGCATTTTCTCTGGACTCAGGATTAAAAAAAAAACCCACATTGCTAATACCCTTGTCAGCCTTTTCCTGAATCATTGCTGCACGGCTCCAGGGAGCCATGGGCCAGTGCTTACTGACCGGCGGGCAGTCTCTGTCCCCAGGCCTTCAAATCCTTTGGGTCCTAGAACTGCTGGCCTGACTTTCTTTGTGCTCGTCCCCCTCCCCTGCAATCCCTCTACCCTGAAGTCAAGACTCAAGCTCCGTGGATACAGATGGGGCCGAGAGCTGAGGATCTAGCTGAGTTCACAGGTGACTGTTTTCGAATGTTCTCAGTTTTTAAAACTTTGAAGTGTGGTCTTCTGTATTAGTTCATATTTGCTGTTGCTGTTCCTCCTTAACGGATGAGTGAATCAGACTGCCGAAGACCTGGTGATTTCCTTGAGGGAGCATGGCTGCCAAAGGCCAGTGCTCAAGTCCCCAAGGTACGGGAGTGACGATCCGATCCCCTTTAGCTGACAGATGAGGAAGCCGGGGCTCCAGCTGCTGTAAGGCCTTCTTCCAAATCATCCAGCCACGAAGTGGGATTCAGCTACTGTAGTGTCCAGGCCAGAGATGAAAAGCTGAACTCATTGGCCCTCAGCAGCTCTGGTGATGAACAGTGCTCAGCTATGGAAAGGAGTCTGCCCTAGGTCATGTATGAAAAGTCATGTTAGTCTGGGCAGCAAAAACAACAACGAAAGCCCTGAAGTCAGAGGTGGCCCGGGAGTGTCCTGGCTGCATTCAGCTGCATGAGCCTTGGTAGGAAACTCATAATTATATTTCAGAGGAGAGAGCTGGTTAACTCTCTTAGTCCAGCCTGCACTTTGGTTCACTTCAGAGGGCTCTGAGGATGTCAAACAAAACAGGATGGATTGGTACCCGAATTCTATTTCAGGCCTATCGTGCTATAGATGAAAGTAGATCTCAGTTTTTCAAATGTTCATTCCTCCAGGTGGGCTTCCCTGCTTTTGCACGGCAAAGCAGGTCCTATTTTCTTGGTCTGTGGATCGTGTCTGTATTGATGGAATGTACTGTTGCTCCAGCATCCCTCAGCTCAGCAGACTTGTGGGCAGAAAACCCTTATGGAGGCAGAATCCATGCACCTGTGTGTAGATGCATGGACAGACACACACCCAGTTACTGTCATTTACAGATTGCCCACCCACCCTCATCATCAGAGAAACCCAAGCCACATAGAGATCTGTGTCAGTAGCACTATTCATACCACACAGAGAGAGAGAGAGAGAGAGAGAGAGAGAGAGAGAGAGAGAGAGAGAGAGAGAGAGAGAGAGAGAGAATGAGAGGGGGGAGGGAGCCTGTAGATGAGTGTAGGCCCTTTACAGGCAATAAGAGAGTGTGCTCATGTCTATGAACATTCAGACAATTTGGTTTAGGATGAGTACCTCACCCACCTCAAACACTGTGTGTCCTTTAAACCTATGGGGTCTGGGGATGTGGGCTGCTTAGGCCCAAAATTTGTTGCTACCAACATATCTTTTTGTGTGACTAGCTACTCTGCCTGGAGCCCTTCTCTTTCCTCTTCATACCGCCCAGCTGTGACTATCACGAGGAAGAATCTGCCCACCTTGCACTATCCATCAGATAGGAATTCGTCCTGTGGGTCCTGGGGCCCCTGTCACACCACACCTTGCCACCTCGGCACTTTCTCAATGACTTCTTAAGGTCAACTGTTGCTCACTCAGCACTTTTCCTCCTTTGCCCATGATGCTTGACTTCCCCCTGACAGATACATCCTTATCCTTGTCTGCCCCAGAGCTGATGGTCCTGTGGGTTAGCAAGCTGAAAGGGAAAGGAGAGCCTGCTGGATTTTGACTTGTCTCCTGTCACAGAAATACCAAGAGTCTCATGAAGGGTCGCAGAGAAGAACTTGCATCTTGGGTTTTGAGGGGCTCAGATTTAAAGTCCAGTCTGGCCCTTTCCTAGGTGTGTAAGTTCGGTGTATCACCAGCCTCTGCAGGCTTCAGTTTCTGTTTCTGTGAAATGGGAATGGCCATTTGAACTTTGTAGTATTGATGGAGGATTTGACGAGGATGAACAGATATATAAAAGTTTAAAAGAAAACTTAGTGAGTAGGATCGTTATGGAAACAGGTCCGTAATACATATGACCTCTTAGGCCCTTGCTGCTGGACTCTGACACTCAGGCAGGGTCTAAGTAGAGTTTCAAAGGTGGGTCAGCCAGGAGGGGATGGAGGGAATGGACAGGAGCCTGGGGCTACTCCTGCAAAATGGGGAGAGCTGGGTAAAAGGCATCTCAAAGGCTCCTTTGTGGACTAACCTAAGCTACCTGACACTAGTCAGTTATTACCTGTAAGTGCCTGGGGATATCCCTTTTACTGTGAACCTAGAAGGGAGAGAGGATTCATGGACGGAGAGCCTGGCATGGGTAAGGGCCACATCCAATCTATGCTGGTTATTGTCACATATATTATCTCATGTAATGTCAAGGCAATGAATGGAAGATGCTCAGAAAGATAACCCTACCTCTGAGCAATTGAGCAGGGACTTGAACCTTTAGCCTCATGTGCCCCAGCCTCCTGGGTACCTGGAGTGTGAACAGTAGGGGAAAGAAAAGAAAGAAAAGAAATGATTTGGAATGATGAAGCCAGCCCCTGGTCCTCAGCGGGGACGCTGAACAAATCCATCCTGTAAGCATGCTTACAGCGTCTCTTCACAGAATGCTTTAGACAAAGACCTAGGTTTTGCAGCTGAATAAGAAATATGAGTTGTGTCTCAGGACATTTGTATAAAGAGACTATTTCTTTACTGTCACAGCCCTACAGGCACCTCTGCTGGAGTCCTGCCTTCTTCCCCAGGATTAAACATGAGACTGATCATGAAGGCAGAAGACTGGAGAATTTTCCATGGGCTCCCTGGGTGGGTGGGCAGGGATCTCTGATAAGTCCTGTTCTTCCTCAGAGCCTCAATGTCCCCGTCTAGAAGAGGACATTGTCCATTGGGATGATTGGTGAGTGACTTAGGGTGCTTAACTCCTAATTCTCACTGAACTGTGGCTACAGTCTCTGGTGCAGAACTTCCTGTGAGGTCAATAATGAATTTCCTTGGCAGAAAATCCTAGTGAAGCTGACCCCATAGGCAGCATTTGGTGAATGCATTGACACTGCATAAGGATACATTCACTTGGGTATAGACGGCTAGGTTGATTTGTCTGCCCTAGCCTAGTTTTTTGACTGTCCAGATTTGTTTTGGTTTCTGAGGTCTGTGTTGTTACTGATTTAAGTCCTGTTGTTTTTCCTTCACTTAGAGAAGGTAGCAAGGTTCCTGGTCTAAGATACACACATTGTGTACCTTTGTTGTTTCCTGAGGGACAGAAAACTTTGTGGGATGCAGAGGTTGAGGGTGGGGAGGGCTCTTGGCCTCCTGCTGAGGAAGACCTCTCCCTCTCCAGTGCATTTTCAGAGTGGCTTCTTTGGAATAGGAAGAACATGAGATCTGGCTTCTTCTGCCAAGGAATCAATATGTTGACAGAGTCGTTCTCTGCGTGTGTCCATTTAAACACCCATCCCTGTGTGGGATTCAGGCTGACCGACTCCGTTTGCCAAATGCAAATGCATTAACCTTCCAATTGGGTAATCTAATAAAAAGGATCAATGGTCTGATTCGGTGCTTATGGAGTCATTTACTGCAAGTGAGAGCAATTTAGCCAGGACCCAGATGAGCAGCTTGGGGGAGTTCAGGGAATGAGCAGGCTTCAGCCAGCCATCCTTGCTCACTTCCCAAGGCCTGGTGGCCAGTGCTGTGATGCCTGGAGAGGCTGTGCAGAGCAGGCCCGAATGAGGAGAGTGTTCTTCATTCATTACTGCCACTTTAATCACTTAGGAGTTCAATTAAGTATAAATCATTACTGGTATTTCAAGTTACTCTATCCAGGCCCGTGCATAACACAGTTGACTGGTGGTGGGGAGCTTTCTGTGGCTCGATTTAGCGTGCGACTGAACAAGGCAGTCATATGGGTTTTTCTGCGATGAAATTGATAAATGAAGCGGGCATTCGAGGTACAGCAGTAATTTCTGTGGCGCAGTCAAGTGCTCGCTCCCCTGTCTCCTCTAGCAATGAGGGCATGGGCCCCTTTAATGTGGCGCTTTTCCCTGGGGTGCTCAAAGGACAGGCTGGGCCTCAGGCATAGGGTTGATTCCTTGTACTAGTTCCCAGAGTTGGACTTGGTTCCCTAGTGGGAATGTATCTAGGGAGAGGAGGAAAACGGAGAAGGGGAAATGAAGGCTCTTTCTCCCTCATTTGCCAGCAGTGTTGCTGATATGGTCTGTGCAGAGCAAGGGGCAGGTATTTCAGGAAAGACACAGGCTGACCTGCTGGGCTGCTCCGGTCCATGTTCAAAGGGATGTAGTTGCCTCCAGTGACCAGCGTCCCTGTCTGGAAAGCATATTTTCTCCTAATCGGTTTTACAGCTCTTTTAAAGTAATATGTCAGATCATTTTCCCCATATACATAGTTAATGAAAGTAACCCTACAAATTCATTTTAAATAGATGGAAGTTGTTACAACCCTGATCCAGAATTTATTACGTTCATTACAATCTTGCTGAAGTAGGTAATGTAATGGACTATTACTTTTATTATCTTTTTAATCCCTCAAAATTATTAGGAACTGACTAATATTTGGCATCACCTTGTTAATGTTTAAACAGAAATTGATACTTTAATTCGTCTAATAAATGACAGGGGGCACTTGGAGTGGAAACAAAAGCCTGCCGGGATTTATCTCCATCAGTCCCAAAGACTTTTAAGTGCGACTCAGGGGTCTGAATGCAATTACTTCCAGGCAGGGTGTCTTCATCAAGTACTCAGAGGGGACAGGAGAGTAGAGATGGAGCTAGTGACAGAGAGACCCAGACGAGGACAGTGACAACGAGGCAGAAAAGTGAGAGGGAGAGCAATTCTACTTCCGTATCCAACTTCCAATTCTGATGCACAAAACCCTCCTGGCTATAGCCATCCCTGCTCAGCTCTTCCTTCTTACCCTTCATCGTGTTCCCTTCCCGTCTGCAAATGAAAAAGATTTTCCTCTACAACTGCCCCTGTTAGTAATCAGCTTTATGGCTGAGACTTATCAAGGGCTTTGGAGTTTGTGCGTTGTGGAGACAAATGATTGGGCCTCGTTCTCCTAGCCAGGAGTAGGGACCCTGCTTGTACCTGAGATTGCTTGATTTATAATCACCAAATTTACCGTGCTAAGGGGTGGGGAGTGGAGGGTGGGAGGGGCATTCAGTCTGCTCTCTTCCTGAGAGAAGTGTTTACCCTCCACAGCGCTGTTTCCTGTCAGGCTGGTGACAGGTAGGATTTAGGAGAAATTCATCTCTTTCTCTTTCTGGTCCTTACAAATAAAATGCCATGCTAATCAATTAAAGACAAAAAACAAAAACAAAATTACAAAACTCTAGTCATTCTAGCAGGGCAAGAGGAAGGAAGTCCTTTCCTAGGGGGCAGGAAGAGAAAAGATGAAAAGAGACAGGGGGGGAAGGGAAAGTTGCGTTTTTCAAGGCCAGGGTGTGTTTTCTAACAAAGAAAGCTTCCGGTTAGCAAAGTCACTAATTAGCTCAGAGAAAGCCCATTAGAATTTAACGCTCCTTTACTGTGCACTGTGGCTCTGCTCTCTGTAAACGCCCGAGTTTCCAAAGCAAGTAAAGTATTGATTAAATTGACTAGGCATGAGATGTGTCCATCTGTGCACTTTCCAGGTGAAATATTCTGCCTGGTGCCCTGTGAGTTGAACCAGGCAGGCTGTTTGGGGGGCAGTTTCCTGCTAAGGCACATCGTAGCCTTGGCAGGATCGAGGAGGCTTCTGGTTGCCCATCAATTCAGCAAAAACTGTTTTGATCAATGGAGGGGAAACCCGCCCTACACCAGGTTTATTCGCCATGTCTCGCAAATTGTGCTGGCTGCTTTCGTCAACGCTGACTTGACAAGGGCTACATGTCATTTGAGGCTTGATAAAGAGCTAAAAGGCAGCTTCTCAGCATGTTTATTTTTAATAGACATAAAAAATGAAAACAAAGCAGGGGCTTTCTCGCTCCCTTATTGACAGAAAAGCATTGAGTATACAGAAGTGGAGATGTGAAATGGAGATTGTAGTAGCCGTGGGTTTTTCGTTTGTTTTTGTTGTTTCCAAAATATCCTTATAAACTAA